CCAGCTCTGAACATTGGTATCACCCTCTGGCTATACAGTGTGTAAAGAGTGTGGAAATTTGAAGACCTACTGACTAAATAACAAATACTGGCAGGTTAAACAGTTCACAAATAGATTTTTCAACTCTATATTTGGTAGTCTATCTGGAATTCACTTTAAAGCATACAGAGACTACATACTGTTCCTTTTTAAAATAGTAAAGAAGTAAAATAAACATAAAGAGATTAAAAAGGGAAGAAAAGTCAACAAAATGTTTAAGCTCTGGATTCTGAAGAAGATTGTCAAGGCTGTGTCAGTCCCAATACAGGCTAAATAATTAATCCTGCCCATCTGGAGAGGATAAATTAGCTTTGAGGCCCAGGCATGCTGGTTTTGGGGAAATTTTATGGACAATGCCTGTGTGTATGCTATGAGGCCAGATTCCATTTTGTACAGTTCGATGCAGCATCATCTATGTACAGGCCAATACAGTATTTAATAAGGCAAAGAGTACAGTGAGTATCTCAGAACAACCAATCAGAGATTATCTTTTATTGTCAACAGGCCCAGAGCCAAATGGTTATTATTAGTTTCTGCCATGGCTGTGAACTCTCTATATCAGGGGTTCTTATTTGGTTGTGTCAATACCTTGGGGTATGGGAACTAAATGATGAGGATATGGCAAAAAACTGAAGCCTAATTCTCTGCATTATTGAACCCAAAGCTTTCCATATTTAAAGTAAAACCAAACTATTCACATCTTTTTAAACTGGGACATATTAAGACTGGTGATGAGGATGATTTTCAGTTTGAATAAGGGGGTATGGGGCACATTGGGCAATCCATTTGAGGTCGCCGATCATAAAAAGGTTAAAAACATCTGCTCTGTATAATTTGACTGAGATTTTGTATAATATGATGTCATGTCACCTTCAATTTTCCGTGAAGAAAGGATTGATAGCGTCCAAAATTTGCCTTTCAAATTGTTCTTACTAATTTTTTTGTCCTGTTGGGTAGATAAAAACTTCAGTATCAGTTTTGGGTGTTAAGCCTTTACACAATGACAGACATAGAACTTTTGACGTAATCAGAGCCTTTATTTAGTGTCCCAGTTATGTTTTCCCATGATGTAATATACTTTAAATGTTGTCAGCTATTTCAGTATATACAACAAACACTTCATCATCTTGAAACAGACATATTAAGAAAAAGGTTTTTTTTCACGAGTAACACTGAAGGGTAAACACAGGCTAGTTGAGCTGATTAAGTCATTAACCTACAATAGCTTTGGTTAAACTGAGCCAAGACTCTAATTAAACATTTGAACTTTGTTACAATAATAATTCACAGCTATTTATTTTAACAGGTAGTGAAACAAAATGAGAAACAAATCTATATGAGAAGTTCCAAACAAGACTAATCTACACTAAGTCACAAAGAATTCCTTTATCATAGAAGAACAGCTGCCCTAAAGTTATGGAATGGAATTAGCTACATGGGCCAACATGACATTTTGGGTCAATCTCTATACCTTGGTATATTACAAACTTGGTCTGGAAGAATGGTAAGTAGCAACTGAAGAGAATGTCATTTGCCTTCTTCTGTAAGCATTAGAAGCCATTTAAAGCCTAATGAACCCCTATGAACCGCACAAAAAAAACCTAATTTCATCTTCTCTATTGACTCTAATGGAGTGGAAGTATATTTCACTTAACTCGGGAAGGGTAAAACCTATTTAAATGTACAGTATTTAATTATTGTTTGTTTCTGCTGTTTCCGCCTCAGTTTTTCATTGAAAAATGATATAGAACTACAAATAATCAGACATGCACCCAACATGCAATCTAACAAAAAAAACTTGAGAGATCCAGATTATTTAGGGGTAACAAAGGGGCAACTGGGAAAAAAACACTTTTCTCTAAAACAGTAAAAATAAATACAGTGAGCCCCATACTAGTGTAAATGTAGAAAGTATAAAACCCCTACAATTATCTCCTCGATACTGGTCAGCTAGAGTTTTATACCTGGGGTTTTTATCAATGAGCTGGTTTAGCCTGCTTCTTTGTGGCTACCATGACCTGAATGTGCAAAGCCATCTTTGGGCAAAGATAAAAAAAACCTTTGTATTTCAAAGACAGATAGCACCTATACAACACAACCCACATTCAAATATTTTTAAAGGTGGCCTTGAAAACCCATTGACAAGATGGTAGCAGCCAAAGAGTGGCTTGACTGGCTGCTCAGGTAAAACAGCTGGTCTTTAAGGGTTTGAAATTAGATAACTACCAGCCAGAAGCAGGAGAGAAAAGAGTTTTATGTACATAATAGAGGTCATTTTACAGAGGAATAAACTCCACAAGCACCACAGCTGCAAACCACAAAAAAATAAAACCACATTTATAAAGAATATTTACTGGAGCTCAATCAATTTATAGAACTATTTCATTAATCAGGGTTTCCCTTCCAAGCCAGCACCTAGTTTAAAGAGCATCAAAGTTTAAATCTATACAGTAAACGCAAAGCAGACTTCATCATTCATCTTTTTCAGTGTGAATATAGCCACAGTCAGCAAAGAGAGGTCAGCCCTAATGGTTAGGAAGTGGCAGCACGGCCCCTCCGCAAGATAAGTCCAGTCCCCCAACCCCCCCACCCCTCCAAGAAAGAAAGCTCTTGTGAAAGTCCGACACAGCACTCCAGGGATCACACATGGCCAGGAGTCCCCTCCTCTAATCTAAACAAGGAAACGTTCTGTGTGAACTTCTCCTGAATTAATTATATAATTAATATTAATGGATCTGCCTGTACAGCTTCCTTCAGTTTAACAAGGAACAGAAAAATCTTTGTCTGCGGGAACAAGATGAAAGGGGAAGTGTTTTGTCAAATCCTGTAATCCAGAAAATGTATAACATCAACCACACCATGCACCCCTATTTGCATATGGCACCTCCTGCTGAGACAGTGGCCCTGAGAATGACGGCTGTTACTATCTCAAAGAGACAGGGGTATAATCTCCCTTTACAGTCAGCTCTAGATGTCTGATTAACATTCACAAGTGGTCTCCAACATCACTTGCTTTGAAGTGGGCAATCCTGAGTTTAATCCCACTTTGAGTGCCTCATTGTTTTTTTGGCAGGCCATCTCCTTTCGACGGGGCTCTATAACAAAAAAATGGTTTCTATGGAACGGAGCAAAGTTTGCCCAGTTTATGGATAATGTCTTTCGTCTTAGCATTCCACCAAAGTATACTGTTCTAATAAATAATATGATATTATTGATTACCGTGTTGCCTTGCATTTGATTCACAATACTGAAATGTAAAAAATGGTTTACTCAAATGTATTTAAAACAAAAATCTGTAGAGCATTTTCAAATGACGCTTTAAAGAAAACCTGTCCCTTTCAATTTAAGACAAAGCAAGAGGAGCAGCATATTTAGGATCTTAGGCTTTTCTTTTATGCCAGACTGGTTGTGAAATGCTATGGAAGTATTTGCAAATGTAAAACTCAGTTGAAGCAGGTCAAATGCAGGTCAGCAGGAGTTTAAATGCACCTGCCAATAAATTCCAAATTATCTCAGAAGCATCTCAAAGTAACGTCAAAAAGCTGACATCAACTCAAGCCCACAAGCCCTTGTACTACCCTTTCCTTTACTTCCAGGTATGGAGGTGCATGTGACTCACTGGGCCAAGCAGTGTTGTCATTCAAGTAGTCCATAACCATGTGTAGCTATGACTTCAGTGATTTATAGCTTATACAGAGTATTTAGTATCTGTGGTTAAATGGAGTGGCAGAGGAGCCTAAAGAAGGTACGTATCTGCTGCATGGCAAAACTTTCAATAAACTTAAATGATGGTTGGATTGTTTGCTGAAAACCCTGTTCTTGCTTATCCCATGCATGTGTATGGTTATGTAATCTGTAGTCAATAAAGCAACCTGCAAACTTCCAAATAAGGTAGAAAATAAAGTAGACACTGATGAGTACTCCCCAGATCTTCATGATGAATGAGCTTTACTGTCACAGTCTACAAGCCTCACAAACAGAATTAAAAGGTCAAGACCCCAACTGAGCCCCATGTGTTCTCACATGCCACACCAAAGTACCTGCTCTGGCCACCTTCTTCTATTTCACACAGTAATTTACCAGATCCTCATCTAAAATTAGAGTTATCCCAAGAACATGCTGCAGATTTTCAGTATTGTGCTATAACAGGAAATATAAGGGGGACAGGCAGAGGATTCTACATGAGGAATCTGGGAAACAATAGAGGTTGGATAGACCTCCAACATAAAGAAGCGGAAAATCCAGATGGGTTTTCTAGTTCTAAGAACTTTCTGTGGAGTTAATTCTTTGCAAACGTCTGGCAACTGCACATCAGCATTTACCTTATCACTCAGATGCTTTGGAAGCTTTCCAAACAAGGCTGCATTCTATGGAGTGGATTTACTGGCACATATTCATGGGGCTGCATAGAACTGTATAACATGTTTAGGAATCTTAAGAGCTTTATAGACACTTCTCTATGTTGTTTTATTAGGTGTATGAATGTTTTTTCATATGAAGAGATGAGACTGCAGAGCTCCTTCCATCATCCTGAAAAAAAACAAAAAATTCCATCTTGGCAAAAAGCCTTTTCCTATGACAGAGCTGCTCTGAGAGCTTCGTCTTCACCTCATAGCAAGACCAGTCAGAATCTGACCTTTCCAAAATCAACAAATCATATCTGTGTAGATAATCCATATAGCCAAATTTGAAAGGGAGATTCATTACCCAAGTACAATTTTTGGGTTGCTTGGGGTACACCTGAAACAATCATACAATATATAAATATCACATGCAGTTTGGGCCCTTCCTCCCCCTAGAGTTGGAGATTGGTCCTTGATTGTATCACTACATATATAGGAAACCCAGGGCTGATTTTACCATAAGGTGCACAAAGTCTGTACTTATAGGTAGAGGAGAGTTATTGGACTTATCAGCAAAGCTCAGCAAAATTACCAAAAAGTTCTAAAATAATAAAGTACCTGCACCAAAGGCGAAGAAGAAACTCTTGTCCCGGTTTTCCTTCAACAGACCCATCACTCTTCTTGCCATTCTTTCATTCCTCTTATAGATAAGTTCTTGCCTAAAGTAAATGTCTATCTCCTGAGCTGTTACTTGCTCTTGTGATGGTAGAGTAGTGTTGATAAAGGTGGGGAGCTGCAAAAATAAAATAAAACAAAAATAAATATAAAAGTACACAAATAGTGCATTAGTTTTAATGAAATACCTGCATGTTTACTTGCCTAACGTGGACCTAGCCTTGTCTACAATGTTTTTGAGGCAACAACAGTGCTGAACTTCAGACTGCCTATATTGCTTGAAAATGTTCAATTCGATATCAGAGCTCTCTCAGAGCGCTACAAACGCCTATGCCATAGAGAAACGTATTGGATATACAAACTGAATACCCTAACACCTATGGGACTAAATGAAGATTTAGTGAAGACTCCAGCTCGTCCGTCTGAAACCCGTGCTCTATACCCACAAGGACTGGTCAGATTTACTCCTGAGCGTTCTAATCAACTGTAAGATATAATCCCCTCTTCCAAAACAGTGAGTTTTCATTTTTCTATTTCTTTTAAAGGTCGTACCTATACCGTTCCAGCAAATCCCAGGGTTGCAGCGCTTCTTTCCACCTTTCTTTCACATGTCTACAGGGCTCCTCCCCCTGAATAAGAAGCTTGCTCACCCTATAATATTTCAAGCCTCGCATTGGCATACCATTGTTCCGTAATTGTTTTATAGTTGTATAATTTTAATCTTGTTTTAACATTAAATTTTGTTTTAAATATATCCATCCACCCGTCATAGTCCATACCAGCTGTGCGCTCGCCTTTTTTTGTGTTTTTATCCTGCTAATTCGATATCAGGCCAGGCTGTACATTGTGCCTTGTCTTCTGACCAAGTTGGGATTAAGCCTTGCTCCCTTACAGTGCTTAAACGCAGAAGTAAAGTCCCAGCATATCCTATTATGTTATAACATCCGCATTGTAATAGGAATACATACTAAAGTTTTCCTTGATAATGCAACCAAAGCTTACTTGACAAAATCCCTTTTATGTAGTGAGTGCTGCCTTCCGCCTGCCCATCACTTTCAACCATTTCCTGGATTCCCATTGTGATTTGCATCTTTTTCCCTGCTGCCTGATGTGATGCAATCTCAATTTCTCAAGACTACATACTTCCAGCAAGCAATGATAATGTTACATTGCTTAGACGTGGAGTTGTAGTTCAGATGGCAGGCTTAGTTTGTGTGATGACACATGGAATGCATACTGTAAATGGGTTTGCATGTTATCCCTGTGCTTGCGTGAGGTTTCCTCCAGGTGCTCCAGTTTCCTCCACTCCAAAGACATGCTAATAGGTTAATTGGCTCATATGTATATATGATCCACCCTATCTTCATAAGTAAGTTTATAAACTTTGAGATTGATATCGCTATTAGGAGTGGGATAGAAATTGGGAAATTCAATATAGATATACAGTACATTTTTTTCTTACGTTTTTGACCACAGATAACCTTTAGCCCTCATTCACACGACTAAGAGCCAACCTGTACAGATCCGTGCTGGGTGCACAGCCGTATCGGGCCGCTCCCGGTAAGGACAAATGCAGCAGCCTGTTCTTCTCTATGGGAGTATGTCGTCGTACGCTCACCCAAACTGCACGTCCGTGCGGGTGTCCGTACGCAGACAGGATCCATCCGGGTGCGGGCACCCGAGCAGGGACACCCACTCCCGTACGGACGTGCAGTTCGGGTTAGCGTACAGCGGCGTACGGCCGCATACTCCCATAGAGAAGGAAAATATAAGATGAACTATGTTTTTTGGTTGTATATATTTTTGTTGACATTGAATATGTTTTTGTTGACAATGAATGTGTGACCTTTTCTTATGAAGAATTGATGGTTTGTTTTTTTATTCTAATTGAACTTTTGAAAGCATGATGCATGGCACGTACCTAAATATTTTGGCAATAAAAGGGGTCCCATCTCAAAACCTGTTAGAAATCATACAGCCCTGCAGCCCTTTACTCAGTTTCTTCTAAGTGGGTTGTACTGGAAACGACTGCAGAATACAGCTTATTGGCATACACTGTAGAATGTATATTGTTTAGGTAACTGTAATGAAGAGCAGAGCCAGCCCTAGACCCACCTTAGCAGACATTCCGCATAAAACAGACAATCCTTCTGGTGAGTAGTGTTGAGATACAAAGCATTTTGCCACAACAAATAAGCAAGACAGCTAAGTGCTTTGCCAGGCTATTGTTGGCGCTTTTAAAGTGGACAGTGGATTAAATGCAAACATTACCCGCTCAGAATGACTTTCAAATGACTGGAATTCACAGCAAAACTGTCAAAACATCGGGGACAGAGTACCCTGTAGACCTGTGCAATCTGTCTCCAATGGCTTTGTTTGATGTAAAAGGACATTTCTTTATGTTCTATAAAACAAACCTTAATTATGATTGATGGAGCCATGTATAGACCGGCCCGGGATGCCATGAATGTAAAAGGTAGCCATTCACATTACCTAAACATCTGACAAAGACTGATCGCAATCACTACTCATTATACCATATATAGTGCAGTCGGTTTAAATATACATTACTCATGTTTTGTGCTGTGCAGGCACTTATTTCTGTTAGTACTAACCCCTTCGCAGCCAGGCACCCTCCTGTAGGACTTCAAACATGAAAGAAAAGGGAACTTTTTTCTATATTTTTTTGTACACTGTCTGAAATAATTTTCAAGAAAATGCGTGTACAAAAAGTTACCCACCTCATTCACAAATGAATATTATAAAAAGTGCCATTGTTTTATTGTTGATTGCATCTTTGCTGAAACTTCCTGTCTACATGTACTCCAGCAATGGCTATATATTGTTTCTCAGGGTGGGTTTCCTAATGGTGACAACAGTGGACCATGCCAGTTTACCATAGCCACTTGTAGTCTCTATTGGGAGAGCGCGTGACAAGGTGACATTATAGGAGAACGATTTGGAGACAAGGACAGAACAATGTCACCTTTCACCAGAAAATGCTTGGTCAAAGATTTGTATGGCAGGATCACAAGGTTTGATTTTAATCAAATCTGACAATTTTTTAAATATTGAAAATGACTTTTTAAATAACATGTTAAACTTACATGAGATTTTTGTAATTTGGTTTGCGCATATAGTATAACAACTCTAACAAGTCTGCAATATTTTTCTATTTTTTTAAAATTAAGAAAAAGATTGACTACTATTTATTTGCCCCGTAATTCCTCATACTTTTACCAAAACACTTACAGCCATCATGTTTCCGAACAGCTCCAAGTCTCTCAGCTTGGCTTCCCTGAACTCCCTGTCCAGTACAAGATCACAAAGGACAGAGTAGTCTCTAGCAGCCGTCCATCTACAAGCTTAGAGATGGAAGGAGAGAGGAAGGAAGAGCGGGGAGCCGGGGCATGCTTTGCTTTGCTGTGTTTATGTGTTTGTGGAGAAACACACACAAGGGTGGCTCCATATGACCCTGCTAGGGAAAGGAGCCACCATAAAACTGGATATCAGGGCGAATGCTTAGGGGGCATGCTGATTCCACAGGAAGCTAAAACTTTGAAACATCAAGGAGCAGCATTCATTGTAAGTGATTTAATAAGCATTGGAAATAGCTTAAGCATATTTTCACTTTAATATAACTTTAAAGTACCATACCTGCAGAATATATATAATACCTGCCTCTCCTGTGCTCTATGCCATTGAACAGAGCATTACATATTTTCTTTGCAGGCATAGCCTTTTTTTTCAAAACATAGTCCCTTTATAGGTGTCCTTCCAAATAGCTGGCTTTTGTTAGCCAGAAAAAAACTCTGCGTGCCCCTTTGATCCTGGGTTCACATTTTTACCAAATAGTCAACTGCTGGGCAAAGTCAATCCAAGTTGCAGTAGTAGTGAAGTAGCAAATGATTACATACAATTGGACATGTGCAATTATGCAAGATGAATTCTACATGCTGCTTGTTTAACTTATACAACAGGGAGTCAATTGTTTAACCATTGATCTCTATTCTTGGCGGCAATTCACTATTGATTTGAGCAACACAACTCAGCTACTTTATAGTGCCTGTTCATGTCTACCCAAATCTTGCCTTGTAATTCCACTAAACAGTACAGTACTCAGTTTTTACTCTATAAATGTTACTGATAGATGACAATAAGCACCTTTCTAATGGGGTAATAAACCAGTGGGCAATGGTCAGTTTAGAGGTATTCATGGCTTCCATAGATCTCTCTCACGCCTGTATATCCATTAAGAAAAGACAGATGATCATTCTCCTCTAAGTTACAGGCTACAGTAGTCTAATCAAGCTTCCAGCTGCTTTGACGCCTGGTACATTAATCATCCTAACTTCTCTTTGCTGCTTAGGTCCATGACATTCACCATGATTCATTGGACTCACTGTAGTAAGGCAGCTGTTGGTATACTGATTAATATAGCCGTTTGCCTCCTTTACGGCCAGACAAAGAACAGGGGCTTGAGACAGTCCAAAGCAATTAGCAGGCTGTTAACCACCATCACAGCTAGAAGCTGAAAGGCTTTGTGAGTTCAGCCATCTCCCCAAAGTACTTAGTGGGGGAACAAGCCAACTTTAAATTGTCTCTCCATCTTCAGCAATTCAGGAAAAAGAGATAGGGTGGTGGCCTTGGCTACAAGAACTACGTCACTTAGTCGCAGACATGCAACATTAAGCTGAATCCCTCTAATTATTCAGTCTCTGTTTGTGGATAGGCCAAATTTATGATGTCAACCACTATATGTGCAGTTTAAAATCTAATTTTGGCAGATACAGTTTGTAGGTTATGAAGACAGCAGAAACTCAAGTCTCTAAGACGAGATCTAACCGGTGCCTAGATTACTACAGCAATCCATTGCAGTGCTATATATTGCTATGCACATACTAATGTGCATTGCAATAGGGCATTCCATTGATTTAAAATGTGATGCCAATGCACACTTAAACACGAAGACGTCCCTGCAGTATTTTTTAGCGTAGTGTACTACAATGCATATCACATGTGAAGTGGTGTGCTGCAGCCCGCTTGCAATTCCAACCAGGGTAGTTTGTGTTATGTTTTGTTCCCCCCCATCAAGTAAATAGAAGATGCTGCATTTTA